AAGCTGAGATGGAGCCCTGGGTGTCCTTTCTGCGCCCACCGGCTCTGGAGGGGTGCTCAGCCTCTGTTCTCTGCCACTTTAAGCCACTCTTGGGAGGGGGTCATTCTCCAGAACATTCCTTTGGTGTGGGCTGCCTGACAAAAGTTGTCCTATCCTGGTTCCTGGCGAATAAGGCAAGACAAATGCGATGCTTTCAGCTGGACGGGATCAGCGCGCCAGGACTCACAGGCGAGCGCCAGAGCAGCCCCGAGGACACCCCCGCAGCCCTGCAAGGCCAGGACGGCGGGAGCGACCCGGCGCAGGCCCTGGCTCTGCTGAGATCCTTCCTGCTCCTATGGAAGCGGCTGGAAACGCTCACGGAGCACTGGGGCCGGCTCAGGCTGCGCGTCCAGGATGTTGGCACGGCCGCCCTGCGCCAGCAGCTCTCGGAGCTCTACACGTGAGTGCGTGAGTGTGTGGCTGAGGGGACTCGAGGGCGGCCTTCCTGCCAGGCTGCGCTGCCTAGGAGTACTGAGGACACAGGTCCTGCCTCCTGTTGGCCCGCAGGCCCCAGAGTCCATTCCTGGGAGCACATTCAGCCTGATGACTTTCCAGCCTAGGAGGTCCCCACAGGCCTGGGGCTGTGTCTCCTTCTCACTCTCCCTCCGTGGCTCTCCGAACCCTACAGAGTTCGCAGCCAAAATGTCATAGTGCACTTGCTGCACAAAGCCTGAGGCCGCGCAGACCTCATCTGTCCGCCTGGCTGGGTGACAGCTGTAGGAAGGCCACCTGCTTCTCCAGCAAGCACTCGGCACCTACCCCCAACCCATGACCTTACCGGGCTTGTGTCAGTCACTACTCCGCAGTCAGAGCTGTCTGCTCAGTGATGTTATTCCAACCAGTGTCCCTGGTAACAGGGCCATGAGAAGACAGGTCAATATTTTGAAGACTGACATCTAAACGTATATGTACCCAACAGGAAAAGGCCTCCGAATTTAATATTGACTAAGGGAGAGGTGAATTTAGATGCTGATGTGTCCGTGAGCAGGTTGGGATGTTTGCATATGATGATAAGCCAACAGGAAGTGATGAAAACAATCACCAGGTACCAGAATAAGAAGTCTGCTGTTTGCTCATTTCTGTCTCTCTTCTCTGATAGAGCCGACATTCTCATCCCCAGCATGAAAGCTCTAGCAAGGCAGATGGGGAAAGAAGATGAATTTGAAGCCTGTATAATAAATAGTCAGTCTGTTCTTCCCCCAAAAGGAGCTTCAGAAATTGAAATAAAAACTCAGCAGGTATGCAGGAGCCTTTAAAAATTTGCTTTGGAAAACTTGCTTTCTGGTAATATTAGCATGTAAGACTACAGATGTACACAAATGCTGTTTCTGTTTAAGGAGTTCAGTGTAAATCAGAGGGTTGTAAATTGTTGAATAGTTACTGGGGAAGGGGTAAGTAGTTAAGGTAGATGGGGACTTTGATTAAACAAAAAACTAGCCCTGGGGCTGGGGAGATAGCTCAGTAGAATAAGAGCTTGCATGGCAAGCTCAAGGGCCTGAGTTTAATCCCCAGTTCAAAAAAAAACCAACTAGCCCTTAAGTGTCTCAGTTCTGTAAGTTTAGATTATCATTACTTTCATTTTCCTTAAGTTGAGGTGCACCTGCAGGAAGAGAACAGAAAACAGAACGATTATTGTCTATTTTTGAAGCTAGGTAGTTCAGGCTGACTTTGATGTCATTATGTAGCGCAGGCTGGCCTCAGCGTCACAGCCATCCTCCAGACTCAGCCGCAGAGTGCTAGGAACATTACTGTCTTAAACATAAAATCCAGCACGCAAGTATCTGCATGGAAGTGAAATATCCAGTATGGCTCTGGTAATTGTCCTTCTGAAAATGAGGAAGTTCACCTCTTTGGTGTGTCAGACAGTCTATATGGAGAAGCTGTTTTTTCCAAGTCTTTGCTCAGGTTATTTTAACAGGTGAGCAAAGACTGGCCTGTCTACTGAGCAACAGGCCAAAATTCAGGTTCCCAGCCAGGGCCCAGGGCCATGGCCAAGACTGTCACGTACCCTGCTGAACTCTGCTTCCTCTTGGCACCTGGCCTTCCGCCAGAGAGGATGGTGGGCCATGCTTACATCCGGGCTAGAAGGGAGCAGAATGCTCTCTTGGTCATGTATGAAATCTTCCTTGGTATCAAAATTGAGTTTCAAACCCAACTTCTCTTATAAAAAAGTGACAGTTCACAAAATCCTTGGCCACATTTACAGGCCCCTGACAGAAGACATCACTCAGATGCTTACAGTATTTTGCAGTTGAGTGAGATCTGGTAAAGGGTTATACTTTTATCAGTTAGGACATGGGGCAGAAAGAAATGCTGTTGGTCTCCCAAAAACATGAATCTAACCCCCAGGGGCAGCTGGAAGCCCAAGAAAGGAGTCCTTCCTTTTCCCTGGGGAGAAGATAGCTGAGAAACAGCATTAGGCATAAGAATTCAGGATGTAACTGGGTGTGCAGATGACTCAACTTGTGCTTGCTCTAGCTCCAGAAACTTCTGGAAAATACTGAAATTCACATGATCCAGGAGGTATTAAGAAAAGTCCGTAGAGAGATGACGCTGGTTTTATCAGAAAAGTCTAAGCAGGATGGTACTCTCCCAACAGGTAAATTATTTTATTAATTCAAAAAATAGCATTTCAGGGCCAGGGAGAGAGCTCAGTGACATAAGTGCCTGCCTGGTAAGCCCAAGTTCTTGGGTTCGATTCCTGGTACCACACACACACAAAAAAAAAGTATTTATTGTTCCTTCTACTTATACAACCATCTTGTGCATTCATGTTGATCATAAAAACAAAACAAACACTGAGCCTCGGGCCTGTCCTTTTTTATTCTTTTTATTTTGAGACAGTCTCACTGTGTTGCTGAGTTAGTTGCCCAGGCTAGGTTCAAACTTGTGATCCTCCTGCCTCAGCTTCCCAGGATGTTGAGAATGCAGGTGTGCACTACCATTCAAAAGGAAAAAACATTGTGTACTTTTTTTTTTGGTAGAACCGGGATTGAACTCAGGCCCTTGTGCTTGCCAGGGAAGCACTTATTCCACTGAGCCATCTCCCCAGCCCCAGTGTTTCCATTTTTAAAAATGCATTACAATAAAAGGCACATTGTCACTAATCCTCCTCAGAGCACCTCCCTTGTTGGGAACACACATCCCATTGTTCTTAACACTTTCTGAAGCAGCTTTGGCAGGTCTTCCTTGTGTCCTCAGTTGCACTGTTGTGGCTACCTTGATCCCCTGAATTGATTCAAAGCTTGACCTTTTATGAGCAGTTTGACTTTGAGAAAGAGTTAGAAGTCTCACAACGCTGGATGCTGTGGACATGGTGGGTGAGGACACGCTGCGGTGCGCTTGAGCCTGCCCTTCTGTTTCACGGCACCAAGCACCAGAATTCATTATTTTTGAACACAGCTCTGAAAGACACTCATGAAATAGGCCTACGAGAACTGCTTCAGGAAACAGTGAGAAGGGGGTGCGGATGAGGGATGTAGCTCATCGGAACAAGCACCTGCCTGACAAGTGCAATGTCCTGAGTGTGATTCCCAATACAAAAAGAAAAAGAAAAAGAAAAAAAATCACAAAATGGTCAGAAGGCCAGGTTTGGGAGGCTGAGGCAGGAGGACTACTATGAGTTCTGTCACTGTGTGTTTCAGGCCAGCCTGGGCTACAAAGTAAATTCAAGGCCATCCTGAACTGCATAGTGAATCCCTATCACAAAAAGCCAAAAAAAAAAAAAGGAGTAAGAACAATGAGATAAGAGAGTTTAAAGAACAGGGCAATATTTTGAGTGGGATTAACAGCAATGCTGGGGCCAGGGAGACGGCTCAGTGGAATAAGCACTTCCCTGGCAAGCGCAAGAGCCTGAGTTCAATTCCCGGTTCCACCAAGAAAAAAAAAAAAAAAAGCAATGCTTCTTTATAGTTTTAAAAAGCATAAGCATTCACTAGTTTTTTTTTTATCATCCCTTATATATAAAAGTCATATAACTATAGCTATAGATATATAGTGTAAAGCAACCAAAATGATGGTCTCCTTTGCTCTGAGGTCTAAACACAGGGTGATCAGAGCACTCCTACCGATGCAGAGTCACCATCTTGAATTTATTTTCTTGAGACAAAGCCCCACTATGCCATCAGGATGGCCTCACACTTGCAGTGATCCTCCTGCCTCAGCCTCCCTAGAGCTCTGGTGGCAGGAGTGTGCCACCACACCAGGCTAGAAACTGTGTTTTGAAAGAGGAGCCCAAGGAGCTGTGGAGTGTGCACTGAGGGCACAAAGCGTGGGCTCTTGTCATGGTCTGGCTTTCCCTACTTCATCAGGAGGGGTTCCACAGTGTGTTCACTGGGCAATGCCGTCAGCGTGATCCGCTCCCACCCCTGACACCTAAAGGAAAGATGCAGAAGAAAGGAAAAAGCTTTGTGTTTGAGTACTCATGAAAGTACCTTCCCCCCTCCTTTTGAACCAAAAGCCCTGCATTTTAATGCATGAAACCCTGCACATCGTGTAGCTGCCCCATCTGAACTGCAAATATCTATTCCTGACACCTAATAATTCTAGAGGAACATCCCTGTCCTTGGAGCTAGGAAGGAACTGTCTGACTAGCAAAAGGAATTGGGTTTTCATTTTGAGACCGAGCCCATGGCCATTGTAATGTTAATTATTGCCTCACTTCCCACCAAAGACATTGTCCTCACTGCCTAGATAAAGACGTTGTCATTGTATTGTGTGTTGGTGTTCTAAATGACTAAATTCTATCAACAGCGTTGGGGAAAGGCTGTGCCAGGAGAAGGTAAGCCACGCCCACGGGCGCTCTAAATGTCACCAGAGAGCCAGCACAGTTGAGCTCCAATTACAGAACACTTTACAGAACACAAAGCTCCCATTGTTTGCTGCGTCAGGCGGCTCCCTACCGGGTCCTTGGTGAACATCCACCAGCACAGGGCAGGTGCAACCATCTGCCACAAGGGGGGGGGGGGTTGAGTACATTTGCTTTGTGGCTATGCCGCCCTGCGCTTGCTGTTTGTCAGCTGTGCTTGAAAAGGGGCTTCCAGGGGGTGCCGGTGGGAAGAGGTAGAGTTCTTTGCAATAGTGATAAAGTTACTGTAACTCAACTTTGCCTGGACTAGAGTATACCAGACCAAAATACTTACTTGAATCCTAAACTTATAATACTTTATAAATTAGTTCCAAGATTGAGGGGCTCTTGCTGCCCTTGCTCCGGTTTTGTTTCTGTTCTTTAGACTGTTGCACATGCTCTACAGAACGGCCGGGGGCTCCTCCTGTACTCAGTTCCTCCAGTGCAAGCCCTGGAGTCTCTACAGGGCCAAGGCTGCTCTGTATCCATTTCTTCAGTTTAAAATTCTCAGGCCTCTGGACTGGGTGTCACTGAAGAAGACATTACAGGGCCAGCCAGATAACTCAGCAAATTAAAGGGCCTGCTTAGGCAGAGTGCAGGGTCGGGATTCGATCCCTCGCCTTTCAGGCCGGCCCCGCCCCCGGGGTATGCTGGGACAGCGACAGAGACTGGGCGTGGTGGCGCGCTCCTGTAATCTCAGGGCTTGGGAAGCTGAAAACAGGAGGATCATTATGAGTTTGGTCTACGTAGTGAGACCCTGTACACCTTGTACTAAATAGAGAGAGAGAGAGAGAGAGAGAGAGAGAGAGAGAGAATGAATTACATGCAGCGTCGGGACCCCACCCACTTCCATTCTTAATGAACAGGGCCACTTCTTCATGTAGAAACCAACCTATGTGGCCAGCATTAGTTTAAGCAAGTAGCTTCTCCAATGGGAGTTAGTGCTGGAGAGTGCTAAAGACCAGGAGGACAACAGAGGCTCTTATCCTTCCCCTCAGGGTGTTTGCTTTCCTATTGGCCAACTCCTGTGTTTTCAATTATACCTACCCACCAAAGTGAAACTTTTCTCCTTCTCCCTCCTTTCTTCCTTGTTGTGTCTTGGAGCTTAATCTCTTGTGTGCTGTTTCTTCTTCTTTTGATATCCGGAATCAAACTCAGAACCTTGCACTTGACAGGCAGGCACTGCACCTCTGAGCTGCACCTCTAGCTCTTTGTACCAAATGACCTTCCAGTTTGTCATCCAGGCTCAGGACTTGTGGCTCAGATAGGGTGCAGCAGCTAGCTTGTATTGGTCAGCTTTTCTGGCACTAGGACGAAGTACCTGACAGCTGTAGTTTAAAGAAGGAAAGGCTCACGTTTTCAGTAGGATCAGTCTGCAGTCAGCCACCTCCAAGTCAGAAATGGCACTACTGAAGGGCCATTTCTGGGCCATGAAAAAAGCTGCTCATGTCACGGTGCCAAGATTACACCTTTCTAGCTCATACTCCCATTATCGTGCCAACCAACCCCCACCTCCTAAGGCAAATTCAGCTGCTGACCTCCTGAGTGCACGTGTGTCATCCATTGGTGAAGATAACGGCCCCTTGAGCCAATCGCCTTTCACACAGGACATTTAAATCTAACCCATGATAGTGTTTTTAGTAGCTAACGTAATTCTTCTGTGGGAGCTGTCAAAGTAGGCCTGGACATCCTTGTTCAGCCTCAGGGCTGCCTTAGCATTGGTTCAGATGGACTCTATTGGTTCAGAAAGGCCCTGCCATCCTCCCTCTCTGACCGCTTAATTGGTATTTTTCCTGAACAGGCACAAGGCCAGCAGTATTACATATATCCCAAGGGTATGAGAAGAAACTGTGGGAACTGCTAAATAGACTTAAGGCCAGACATGAGGAGTCAAATGTCATGCTGCAGTGTACTGAGGTGAATAATAGAGTAGTGGGGTAACATTTCTAGGCCTGGTACGTGAGGCTAAGCATACTTAGCTTCAGCCATGTTATGAGATTTAAAAAGATAATCTAACCACAAGGGATAAGAAGTCAGATAAAAAAAAAAAATTGGAAAAAAATCCATATTTGGAATGTGGATTGAGATCCATTCTCCTTGATGAACTCATCCTAAGTATATCATCCTGCTTTGTGATATTAGCTCACGACCCTACTGTAAGTGGTTATAAATAAAATATAAATTTAATACCATAAAATAGACACATGCATTTTAAAGATGAGTGGTCAAAAATGTTTAGCTTGAAGGAAACGTGGAGGGGGAAGGAGAGAAGGGCAAGGGATGAAAAAAGGAATTAGGGTGTGTTGTGTCCCTGTGCTAGCTCCACTCAGGAATGTGATCATTATGTACTATACACTGTGCTAATAAAAAGAATGAAAACCATGCAGAAGATGTGCTTCCAGCCAGTGTTTCCTCAGTAGTGCGTCACAGAACACAGATCCTTGAGATGTTAATTCAGAAGTTTCACCAATGACCCTTCCCTAGCAGACTCCTGGGTCACCTTGCTATAGGGGAATGAAACTCGCAACCTGAAAGGGACCTAAGACGAGGAGTTTGTGTTCTCTAAAACCAAAGAATGAATTTTAGAAACAAACAGAGGTTAAGAGTAGAATATTTTCTGGGGAAAGAAAGCTCCTGTCAGAGAGAGGGACAGAAGAGGGGATTTTTATAGAGTAAAACCATGCAGTGAGGCAGGTCTAAGGTGTAGAACAGGAGAACTTGCACATAAGGTGGGCATGAGGTGGGACAAAACT